CAGGTAAAAAAGGTAACGACAAAACTGTAAAAAAAAAATAGGAAACAGTTAAACAAGAGCATTGGAGGTTGTGGAAAATGAAAATTGTTGGAAATTTGAAAAAGAAAGAAACTAAGAAATTTATGGCCCCTGAAATGAGTAGCATCCTACCAATTTTGTAAAAACAAATTGATGAATGATGAAATGAAGAAATTAATTACCTGCTGATTTGAATGAGCTTCAAAACGTGGTGCCTTTGATCTCAGCTTCTCAGCTTGATCATATAAATTGTAATGGAGATAATTGCGAAGTAGCAGGTTCAAAAGTGTTTCCTGCACATCACACGTTTCAAAATTCATAAAATCACCAGCAATAATGATCATAATAATAGTTATCATGATGATAAGAATAATAATCATTATAACAATGATGATGATGATGATGATGACGACGATGATGATGATAACTACCCCAATTATAAAAAAAAATTAAGAAACAAACCTGCCCCAACTCATCATGACGCAATGTTGCAACCCGGTGCAAAGCAAGAAGATTACTGCATGTAATGGAAAAGAATAATTCATCACAAACTAGTTGATCCTGATTCATTTTTTTTTTCCAATTAGTTTTTTGTCTAAATAAAGTGGTATCTGGATAGACAAATGACATTTAAAAAAAGATTTGAGAAAGGACAGTATATTTGGGGAAAAATGTAAAAAGTTAGGACTAAAATGAGGAAAGCATCTTTTTTCTCTAACTTTCTTTATTAAGTCCTTTCCGAAAGTCAAATAAACAGGATTGTTTTCCTTCATCCAAAGAATAAACAATCAACAATAACTTAAATATATGTAGACACAAAAAAAACTTTTTTTCACCCACCCACGAATTTCAGAGAGACTTTCGGTAAGTTCATAACTAAGAGAGTAATAGAAGTAAAGTCTGGATGCCAGAACATCAACTGTTCTTCTGTTCAAGTTTTTCAAACGGGCAATGCTTGCTGATGAACAAGACTTAGCCTGAATAAGAGATAAAATAAATAAATAAATAAAAAGGTGAGATGATGCAACATAAAGTAATCTAACCAATCATGTTCACCTCATTGTATTTTTTCTGATCGATCAAGAATATCAGAACAAGCAAGTAGCAGTAGATCTCAATCTCATGAGAGTGCTTTACAGTAGCTTGACTTCCAGAAGATGCAGTGTCAACTTCCATATCATGTTCATCCTCCTTTACAAAACATAAAAACATGTAAAGCAATTACTTAATCTAAGATTCAAGATCCTAGATTCTCCTTTGTCCTTATACTAAACTTAGAAAGTATTTGGTCATATTAAACTTAAGGCTACTTGAGGCTTCATTTCCATTGAAAAATGTTATCAACAAATGAAGTGGGAAAGCTATCTGTTCAGCTGTATAATGTTTGAATATGTCTATATTCTACATATAGACAATCATCTTGCTCTTTCCATATCTGGTACTTCATTAACGCAAGAATATATGGCTAAACAGATTGAAATTTGGTGGAAATTAAGATATATAAAACCCAAAAATAACCTACCTTTGGAAGATATGAAACTAAACGAGAGTGTGCTTCGGATCCAGATGCAAGAGTAAAACTAAGAAACGATGAAATCACAGAAGCATTTAACTTCCTCCTCAACGCAATTGTAAGCCTAATAGCTCTCAAAATGCGACGAACTTCACGAGAATAAGCTCCCGTCTCGATCAGTGCCGCAATTTCTTTCAAATCTGAGAGCCAATTTCACGTGATTAACATATTCGAATTCTCAATTCGAAACAATATATAATAAACAAAGCTTGCGTTCGTTCCTAGAGCGTATACACGTATTTTTTTTTTAAATCAATCGATCGATAACACATAATCGAAATCAATTCATCAATAAATAAACAATATGATCAAACAATAAATCATAGAGATCAAATTTAGATAGATTCGTACGCTGTAAAACGGAAGGAACCGTAGATGAAACCGAGTTAGAAGGAGCAGCTGGAACCTGTTGTTCTTTCATTTCAACATCTTGCGTCATTTTTCCTGTAAAATTGCAGTCGAATCACACCATACAGAATCGATAATAACAAATAAACGAATTTTTGGTGCTCAATCGTAAATCTAAATTTACCAGAGGAGGAAAATCGATTGCAATTCTTGATTTGAAAACTGGGATTAGATCAATCCACCGATCAGCAGTCTAGCAAGGGATATAGTAAAGCTTCTTTAGCCCCAAGTTAAGTATTTAGTTCCATTTTAAAAAAAAAAATGATTTTTGTTCGATTTTAAAAAAAATGGTTTTTTTTTTTTTTTTTTTTGCTAATATAACTTAATAGGGTAATATATTTTTTATTTTGTTACAAAAGTGAAATGTTTTTGTCTATATTTAACCATTTGACTTTTCTTTTTTATATACATCCGGTCTTTATAACCGGCTACGTCAGGTTAAGCTGAACAATCATTAACAGGGTGTTCCCATATATGGTTTGTCCCTCATTTATATCAGTAACATAATTCACATATCGGCCAAATAATGTTGGTGTCCTAGTTTCTCTAAGCAAAAGATGTCTTCGACTTCGATTTCATCTATCTTCATAACAAACAACAAGATTCATTTGTAATTGTTTCCTCCAACTCGAATTTACATTTCCAAAACAAAAGAACACACTGGAAAAAAGTTTATTGTTATTCTTAATTCAGACGTGAACCACGTATGACTAACAAAATTAAAAGTATATTGTCCTATTAAATCATTTTCGCTTTTTTATTGCCAAACATCTATAATAAACCTCTCAAACATAAATAATTTTCGGGAAAAAAAATGAATGTGGCAATAATGGCAACTCACACCTTCTAAATGGCAAAAAAATTGAGACAGTATAGCAAATCCTAGTTGATGCCAAGGTGGAGCCTAAGAGGAACAAGGTCTCACTTAACCAATGGAGTGACCTTTAGTGTAACAAAATACAATCATATATATATATATATAGAAAAGTTCAATAGAGAACCATAATTATTGGTTCTTCAAGGAACCAAATATTTTTTTCAATTTCTAGAGCTTATTCTTTGTCGAAAAAAAACCTAAAAATATCTAAATACATATATTAACATTGTGAATGTGAAAAATATTTTTCGGATTCACCGTATGAATCCAGATTCACATTGTGAATTTTCAAAGATTCACATTGTGAATTTGACGTAAAAAAATCGAATTTGATATCATTGGAAAAAGGATAAAAAGTTATGAATTTCTGTATTTTTAGTTTTTTTTTTTTTGATAAAAAATAAGTTCTAAAAGTTGAAAAAAAGATTGATTCCTTGGTTAATTATGGTTCTCTATTGAACCTCA